GTTTTTTAAAATCCAATGTGTGGAACACATAATATTTCAAAAATTTTAACTTTTGAGTATAGATGATCCGCACTGTAGATAAATAGACTCCTTTTTAAAGCTGAATTGAATGGTGGTGGGTTTTTTAAAATCCAATGTGTGGAACACATAATATTTCAAAAATTTTAACTTTTGAGTATAGATGATCCGCACTGTAGATAAATAGACTCCTTTTTAAAGCTGAATTGAATGGTGGTGGGTTTTTTAAAATCCAATGTGTGGAACACATAATATTTCAAAAATTTTAACTTTTGAGTATAGATGATCCGCACTGTAATGTTTGGAGGGGAAGTTAGTTTTTTGGGAAACGAGGACATTTATTTATTTATTTATTTTTAATAGTTGTTAGTTTATATATAATTTTTTTAATTTGTTATGCTATTTGAAATAACGCAAAAAAAAAAATTTAAATAAAAATAAAAAATAAAGAACAATATTTTTAAGTTGAATGTCGCAATGAGTGAGTAGCATATATAAAGACACATCAAATTTCTTTGTTTTATTTATGGGTTGAATTGGTGGTGTTAGCCAGCCAAGAATTTAAATAAGTCCTAGTTGATGAGAAAACTTTTCAGATGGTACTAAGCTTGCCAGTATTATTATTATTGCCATTATTTGCTATTTTTATTATATTTTGACATTATTACTATTTGATGGTTCAAATAAGTTTTATTCGAATTACATTGAAAGTTTATTCAAATAAATGAATGAAATGAATGAAACGAATAAAAATCAACGAATATAATAATAATAATAATTATTCAGAGTGAATGTCATTCAAATTCATAAAACCAAGTGTTGATTCATTTTCACTTTGATTGCTATATTTCTCAGAATTTCTGGCATCATTGAATCACTTGAATCACTTGATTCACTGATGGCTAATCCTCATATTTGTCATAATGTCATTGCTATTATCTACTCCCTTTATAAAATAAAATAAAATATACCATTTTTAATTAATTTATAAGATACAAACTTGTATAAAAAATAATAAACATACTTTGAACTTTTGCATCCTCATAACAACATGCTTGTCTTTCATATCTGTTCCATATTTAGGATCTAGAAGTAAAGTTACAACTGTCATTGCAAAATTAGGATGAGATCTGAGATGGAATACCAGCTGGCCATATTTTTGATATAATTTCAGCAATATATGTATTATTGTTATTATTTTCCATTGTTTTAAACAAGTTTTTTCTACACCATTTAGTTTTTGAGGAAGTTTTCCATTCTTTTAATTCTTTTATTGAAGATTGTGAGTTTATATAATCTAATTTATTTTTTCCAAATATAGTAAACATAGCATTTTTTTATTCATTGTACAAGAGATCCATGAGCTGTTCTCATTGCAGTTTATCCCTATAAACACATATTAATATATCAATATACAGTCTACTCTCTCTATAACGAACTTCCCTTTTGTCCCCGTTTCAATTTTTTATAATTAATTTCTCTCTCTATAACGACCAAAAGCAGAGAAATTACATATAGGGACAGAGGGTTCGTTATAGAGAGAGTGAACTGTATTTGGAGTTTTGATTGTGATTTTTTCTCAAAATTGTCTCTGAGGCGCAGTAAGTTGAGGGACTAGGTGCCTTGCATAAAATTCAAACTCTGGTAACAACAATTTACAAGCTTCAAATTAAAGATACATGTTATTGAGCTATTATTAAATAAGAATATGGAGAGCTTTTTTTTATTTTCATATTAACTAAGGCAAAAACTAAAAAAAGAAAAAAAAGGGCTCATATTCCTATTTAATAACGTGTTTCTTAACTTTTTTCCAACTTACAGAACAACATCAACTTCTCCTTTTTCTCCCGATTATCATCATTATTATTAAGAATAAAGTGGTTTTTGTTATTATTGTTGTATTGACAATAATCTTCGTGTTTGAAAATTCTTTATTAAAAGAAGATGGAATTTCTTTTCGAAGCATTTTCAATTTCCTTATTATCGCAAATAACTTTGATTTGTCTTTGAACATGCTAAAGGAATCTAACAAAGTAAAAAATAAGAATTTAAGAAATAAATTCATTTTTCCCTAAAAATTACATTTTATAATCAGTGTATTATTTTAATTAATTTTGGCTGACAATCAATGAAAAATTCAAAAAAAAATTTTTTAATTATTTAATTTTTCTTAATATGATTGATATAAATGTTGAAGATAATGAAATGCAAGATGTTGAAATTAAAGGCACATCATCCCAACCTATTAATTCACATGAAGAAAAGTTTAAGAAACCCATTTCAAAGAATTCTTCAATTTATAAACCACCAACAAATGAAGAAATTCAAGGGATAAAAGAAACTGCAGACTTGTATCAATCAAATATTTTTAAATTACAAGTAATGTGGAGTACATTTTATTTGATATAATATGAAATTTTTCTAACAACTAACTATTTTCTAAAATAAAAGATTGATGAACTTTTATCAGAAATTAATATTGATTATAATGACAAGAAGATAGTTAAATTAGAAAAGGCATTAATGATGTTGAAACAGATTTATGGAAACATCAATGATATAGAGGATCTTTCGGTAACATTCTTATATATACATAATATATTTTTATTAAATACTATACAGATTGTCAAAATTATCTTTGATATTTATTTGTGAGTGTAGATCAAAGAAGTAAAAGATTATATGTTAAATAATCATAACATTGTGATTCCATTTCCTGATCCACAACCTTCTGAAGATATCCAATATAAGTTTGGATTTAAGAAACCAACTGCTTTTTATTTAGTTGGTAGTTATGCATTGAAAAATTTAGCAATAGGTAGAAACAGGCTAAATGTAGATTTTGCTGTAGTAATGCCCAAGGTAATTTAAAACCTCTTATTGAATTTAATTATTCAAATAACATTTATTCATATGTTCAAGTCTAATTTTTTTTCTGATTGTCAAGTCTATATTTCAAGAAAAAGATTATATGAATTATCGTTATTTTTACAAACGAGCTTATTATCTTTCTGTTTTAGCTTCAGCATTAAAAAAGAATAGTTTGGATTTTAATGTTAAAATGGAATTTGATACACTTGATGGTGATAGAAGACGTCCTATTTTGAAATTAAAAGCAGTTAAAGGTATCAATTGATCTGTAGAATTATTTAAAAAAATTTTAATAATTGACTTTGTTATTATTATACCTTAAATCTTAGATCATTCAGAAACAGATTTTTCAAAACTTAATTGTGTGGTTCGTGTTCTACCATGTATCCCTATGGATTTATTTCCTTTTCAACGTTTATCACCTATACGAAACAATATTAGATTTCATAATGATCAAAAAAACAAGAATGAAAAACTGCAATCACAGAAATCACAGACTTTACCATCAACACCACAATATAATTCAGCTATTTTAAAAGATATGTATTATGTACCACATTTAAATTTTTTGTATAAACAAGTTAAATCATGTGAAGCATTTGTTGATGCTTGTAAACTTGGTAAGGTTTGGCTTCAACAAAGAGGATTTGGAACAGATGATGATGGTTCTAATGGATTTAATGGGTTTATTTGGACCATGCTAATGGCATATTTGTTGACATATGGTGGAGGTCCTAATGGTGGTAAAAGGTTATCTAATGGTTACAGTTCTTATCAATTATTCAAAGGTACTATGGATTTTTTAGCAAGTCATGATTTTATTAAAAATCCTGTATTTATGAATACTTCTGAGAAGCATGAAGAGGTAAAGTATTTATGCATATCATATTTATTTTACATAAATAAAATATAATTAATTAGGTTTATATGATATATATAGTTTTCTTCAAAAGAATTTTCTGAAAATTTTGATGTTGTATTTGTTGATTTATTTGGAAGATTGAATCTTCTCAGTAGAATGTCAAAGGCTTCTTTAAATCATGTAATTTATTTTGATGATGATCAATTATTCTTATTTTTATATGTATGCTATGTATGTTATTAATGTCTAAATTATATTAATAGATACAATATGAAGCTAAATTGGCAATGAGGTATTTAAATGATACAAAGATTGATAGATTTGAACCACTATTTTTAAGAAAAGTTGATGATGTAAAATTGGGATATGATAATTTTGCAATGTTAGTTTTTTCTCACCTTTTTTAAAAATTGTTTTCTGGTTAAAAAAATTTTGCTTTAACACAATTATCAAGTTTTGCTAATAAAAGATTATCATTTTATAATAAATAGGATTAATGACGTTCCAAAAACATATGATTTGTACACTGATTCAGCTAAATTGGATTATCCAGATAGGTTTGTGCATTTTGCAAAAGTATTACCAAATTTACTTGGTGAAGGACTTTCAGATCGTGTAAATTTAATTGCAATAAATTATACAAAATTACCATCTTGGGATATTTCAGAACAGCCAAAATCATTTCTATTTTCAAAAGCTGCTAAATTATTTATTGGGTTAATTTTTAACCTTGATCAATCAAATCGTTTAGTTGATTATGGACCATCACCAGAGGATATAGGAGCAGCAGCAAAATTTAAAAAATTATGGGGTAAAAAAGCTGAAATTCGACGCTTTAAGAATGGCAGTATTTTAGAATGTGTAGTTTGGGAACCAAAAGGAGGAATTGAATCAAGGGGTCTTATTGTCAGTTATATTGTACATCATTTGTTATCACTTCACTATGGTATTAAGCAAGAAAATAAAGGAATACAGTATTGGGCAAGTCAATTCAATGAATTTGTCAGGCTAACTTCAAATGTTCCCAAATTTATTTATAACCAGGATTTAAGTCATCAAGGGTTTCAACCTGTAATGAATGCTTATGACAATCTCATAAAAATGTTAAACTCTTTGGAAGATTTGCCTTTGATAATATCAGGAATTAAATCATCCAGCCCTGCTTTAAGATATTCAACTGTTTTTATTCCTCAAGCAACTAGTATTGATTACAACTATTTTATTGAGCCTGTTGAAATCATCATTGAATTTGAACATTCTACTAAATGGCCTGATGAACTTGTTGCTATGCAAAAGATGAAAACAGCATTTTATCTCCGAATTGCAGAGAAAATAAAAACCCAATATCTTAAAAATAAAGTTTTTGTTCTTGCAGATAATCAAGACCTTATTGTTTCTAAAGGATATATAGATATTGTCATTGATGGATTTGTTTTCAGATGTCGTATTCAACATGAAAGAGAAATGATATTATTAGATCAGGGTATAAAAAATAAAAAATCCAGTATTATTGAAAAAGAAGCTTACACAAAAGCATTATCAAACTACAAATATTTATTTATACAAGTACCATCACATAGTGCACAAATTCAAACTTTATGCAACAAAAATCCTTCATTATCATTGACTATCCGTTTGGCAAAAAGATGGTTTAGTGTACATCTTTTGAGCTCACATGTTTTACAAGAATTTATTGAAATCTTATGTGCATTTGTATTTTTGGATTCAAATCCTTGGTCAATACCTTTAAGTGGTTTTATAGGGTTTATAAGAGTGTTATGGTTGATATCAACATGGGATTGGAAAAACGAGCCATTGATTGTTAATTTTGAAAATAATGGTGAAAATGAGACTACAAAAATTATAAATGAGATTAGAGAGAAGTTTAAGAACATAAGGCAAACTGATAAAAATCAAAAACATGCTTCTATGTTTGTTGCTAGTACAACTGGAAATGGAACTGTATGGGGATGGGATAGACCATCTAAAGTGGTAGCAGCAAGGATTAAGGATTTGGCAAAGTCAGCTCTTATATGTATTGATGAATCCATCAAAAATGGTGATTGTAAAGAAATAAAGGCAAGATTAGAAAAATCAATATTTTACTTTATTTGATTTGCTGTGATTAACATTATTAATGATAACTTAATCTTTTTCTTCAAATCAAACAGCGATTGTTTGTCACATCACTTAAAGATTATGATATATTAATTTACATTGATCCATCAAAGTGCACTCGTTATTATCAAAACATAAATCCTGATAGTAAATATCTATTGAAGGATAGTAGCCAAATTTTCCAAACATATAAAGTTGCTAATAATAATAATACAGATATTATACCTATGATTGGATTTGATCCAATAGGTTGTTATGTAAATGAATTGAAAGTGAGTAATAATAATAATATTATTATTTATTGATTGATTGGTGAACTAAATTAATATATCCATATAAATTATAGAAAATATATTCTGAGGTAGCATTATTCTTTTATGATCAATATGGTGGTAATATAATTGGTGTAGTATGGAATCCATCTTATTTTACACCAAAACCTTGGAAAACAAATATTGAATTTTCATCAATTTTATTAAATTTAGTTGAAAATAATCATCAGTCAGAGAATGAAAAGGTATTAAAAAATTTTTTATTTTTCAAGAAAATTTATATAAATATGTATATTACAATAAAAAAAAATTTTTTTTAGAAATCTAAGAGAATAAAAATATCAAAAAATGGAGATTATATAAATAAAAACAACAACAATAATGGTGATGGTGATGGCAATGGTGATTTAAAAATGGTTATATTAAATACCAAAGCTATTGCTTTTGAAATGGGAAGATTAGGAGAAGGATTGGTTGAGAGAATTGAATTTCAAAAATAAAATATGATGGATGCATTAGTACAGTGCGTTTCACGGGATACATCCAAAATAATTGGTCTTTCTTAAAATAAATTTTTGTGTAACTTTTGAGGCAATAAAAAAAAAGTAAGCAAAAAAATTTCCAAATCCAAATTAGAAAATACTAAACCTGAACTTAGGGTGTCCAGGATTATGCATTTATGCGATCATAATTTTTGGGCAAATTTGAGAATAATTCTGGCCAAAATTAAAATACATAAAATTTAATTTTTTAATCGAATCTTCTTTAAAAGCTTTTATAATTTAAAAGGATCTTTCCACATCAACACCAGATCATACATGTTAGCCAAAATTGGTTTTGCATTTGCTAAATATTTTGGCAATACTCTGGCTTTTTCATATTCCCTATATTAATGGTCAATAAAAAAACCACCCAGAGTTTTGGCTATTGAACCAAAGAATTCAAATAATTTTGGATATAATAATTTTGGCCACTATTAAATTAATTTTGGCCATTATTAAAATTAATTTGGCTATGAAAAACTATTTTGGCATTTTGAATTTGGCAATGATCATTTGCTAACAAAAATAATATTGGCTAACACAAAAACTAAAAAAAGAAAAAAAAGGGCTCATATTCCTATTTAATAACGTGTTTCTTAACTTTTTTCCAACTTACAGAACAACATCAACTTCTCCTTTTTCTCCCGATTATCATCATTATTATTAAGAATAAAGTGGTTTTTGTTATTATTGTTGTATTGACAATAATCTTCGTGTTTGAAAATTCTTTATTAAAAGAAGATGGAATTTCTTTTCGAAGCATTTTCAATTTCCTTATTATCGCAAATAACTTTGATTTGTCTTTGAACATGCTAAAGGAATCTAACAAAGTAAAAAATAAGAATTTAAGAAATAAATTCATTTTTCCCTAAAAATTACATTTTATAATCAGTGTATTATTTTAATTAATTTTGGCTGACAATCAATGAAAAATTCAAAAAAAAATTTTTTAATTATTTAATTTTTCTTAATATGATTGATATAAATGTTGAAGATAATGAAATGCAAGATGTTGAAATTAAAGGCACATCATCCCAACCTATTAATTCACATGAAGAAAAGTTTAAGAAACCCATTTCAAAGAATTCTTCAATTTATAAACCACCAACAAATGAAGAAATTCAAGGGATAAAAGAAACTGCAGACTTGTATCAATCAAATATTTTTAAATTACAAGTAATGTGGAGTACATTTTATTTGATATAATATGAAATTTTTCTAACAACTAACTATTTTCTAAAATAAAAGATTGATGAACTTTTATCAGAAATTAATATTGATTATAATGACAAGAAGATAGTTAAATTAGAAAAGGCATTAATGATGTTGAAACAGATTTATGGAAACATCAATGATATAGAGGATCTTTCGGTAACATTCTTATATATACATAATATATTTTTATTAAATACTATACAGATTGTCAAAATTATCTTTGATATTTATTTGTGAGTGTAGATCAAAGAAGTAAAAGATTATATGTTAAATAATCATAACATTGTGATTCCATTTCCTGATCCACAACCTTCTGAAGATATCCAATATAAGTTTGGATTTAAGAAACCAACTGCTTTTTATTTAGTTGGTAGTTATGCATTGAAAAATTTAGCAATAGGTAGAAACAGGCTAAATGTAGATTTTGCTGTAGTAATGCCCAAGGTAATTTAAAACCTCTTATTGAATTTAATTATTCAAATAACATTTATTCATATGTTCAAGTCTAATTTTTTTTCTGATTGTCAAGTCTATATTTCAAGAAAAAGATTATATGAATTATCGTTATTTTTACAAACGAGCTTATTATCTTTCTGTTTTAGCTTCAGCATTAAAAAAGAATAGTTTGGATTTTAATGTTAAAATGGAATTTGATACACTTGATGGTGATAGAAGACGTCCTATTTTGAAATTAAAAGCAGTTAAAGGTATCAATTGATCTGTAGAATTATTTAAAAAAATTTTAATAATTGACTTTGTTATTATTATACCTTAAATCTTAGATCATTCAGAAACAGATTTTTCAAAACTTAATTGTGTGGTTCGTGTTCTACCATGTATCCCTATGGATTTATTTCCTTTTCAACGTTTATCACCTATACGAAACAATATTAGATTTCATAATGATCAAAAAAACAAGAATGAAAAACTGCAATCACAGAAATCACAGACTTTACCATCAACACCACAATATAATTCAGCTATTTTAAAAGATATGTATTATGTACCACATTTAAATTTTTTGTATAAACAAGTTAAATCATGTGAAGCATTTGTTGATGCTTGTAAACTTGGTAAGGTTTGGCTTCAACAAAGAGGATTTGGAACAGATGATGATGGTTCTAATGGATTTAATGGGTTTATTTGGACCATGCTAATGGCATATTTGTTGACATATGGTGGAGGTCCTAATGGTGGTAAAAGGTTATCTAATGGTTACAGTTCTTATCAATTATTCAAAGGTACTATGGATTTTTTAGCAAGTCATGATTTTATTAAAAATCCTGTATTTATGAATACTTCTGAGAAGCATGAAGAGGTAAAGTATTTATGCATATCATATTTATTTTACATAAATAAAATATAATTAATTAGGTTTATATGATATATATAGTTTTCTTCAAAAGAATTTTCTGAAAATTTTGATGTTGTATTTGTTGATTTATTTGGAAGATTGAATCTTCTCAGTAGAATGTCAAAGGCTTCTTTAAATCATGTAATTTATTTTGATGATGATCAATTATTCTTATTTTTATATGTATGCTATGTATGTTATTAATGTCTAAATTATATTAATAGATACAATATGAAGCTAAATTGGCAATGAGGTATTTAAATGATACAAAGATTGATAGATTTGAACCACTATTTTTAAGAAAAGTTGATGATGTAAAATTGGGATATGATAATTTTGCAATGTTAGTTTTTTCTCACCTTTTTTAAAAATTGTTTTCTGGTTAAAAAAATTTTGCTTTAACACAATTATCAAGTTTTGCTAATAAAAGATTATCATTTTATAATAAATAGGATTAATGACGTTCCAAAAACATATGATTTGTACACTGATTCAGCTAAATTGGATTATCCAGATAGGTTTGTGCATTTTGCAAAAGTATTACCAAATTTACTTGGTGAAGGACTTTCAGATCGTGTAAATTTAATTGCAATAAATTATACAAAATTACCATCTTGGGATATTTCAGAACAGCCAAAATCATTTCTATTTTCAAAAGCTGCTAAATTATTTATTGGGTTAATTTTTAACCTTGATCAATCAAATCGTTTAGTTGATTATGGACCATCACCAGAGGATATAGGAGCAGCAGCAAAATTTAAAAAATTATGGGGTAAAAAAGCTGAAATTCGACGCTTTAAGAATGGCAGTATTTTAGAATGTGTAGTTTGGGAACCAAAAGGAGGAATTGAATCAAGGGGTCTTATTGTCAGTTATATTGTACATCATTTGTTATCACTTCACTATGGTATTAAGCAAGAAAATAAAGGAATACAGTATTGGGCAAGTCAATTCAATGAATTTGTCAGGCTAACTTCAAATGTTCCCAAATTTATTTATAACCAGGATTTAAGTCATCAAGGGTTTCAACCTGTAATGAATGCTTATGACAATCTCATAAAAATGTTAAACTCTTTGGAAGATTTGCCTTTGATAATATCAGGAATTAAATCATCCAGCCCTGCTTTAAGATATTCAACTGTTTTTATTCCTCAAGCAACTAGTATTGATTACAACTATTTTATTGAGCCTGTTGAAATCATCATTGAATTTGAACATTCTACTAAATGGCCTGATGAACTTGTTGCTATGCAAAAGATGAAAACAGCATTTTATCTCCGAATTGCAGAGAAAATAAAAACCCAATATCTTAAAAATAAAGTTTTTGTTCTTGCAGATAATCAAGACCTTATTGTTTCTAAAGGATATATAGATATTGTCATTGATGGATTTGTTTTCAGATGTCGTATTCAACATGAAAGAGAAATGATATTATTAGATCAGGGTATAAAAAATAAAAAATCCAGTATTATTGAAAAAGAAGCTTACACAAAAGCATTATCAAACTACAAATATTTATTTATACAAGTACCATCACATAGTGCACAAATTCAAACTTTATGCAACAAAAATCCTTCATTATCATTGACTATCCGTTTGGCAAAAAGATGGTTTAGTGTACATCTTTTGAGCTCACATGTTTTACAAGAATTTATTGAAATCTTATGTGCATTTGTATTTTTGGATTCAAATCCTTGGTCAATACCTTTAAGTGGTTTTATAGGGTTTATAAGAGTGTTATGGTTGATATCAACATGGGATTGGAAAAACGAGCCATTGATTGTTAATTTTGAAAATAATGGTGAAAATGAGACTACAAAAATTATAAATGAGATTAGAGAGAAGTTTAAGAACATAAGGCAAACTGATAAAAATCAAAAACATGCTTCTATGTTTGTTGCTAGTACAACTGGAAATGGAACTGTATGGGGATGGGATAGACCATCTAAAGTGGTAGCAGCAAGGATTAAGGATTTGGCAAAGTCAGCTCTTATATGTATTGATGAATCCATCAAAAATGGTGATTGTAAAGAAATAAAGGCAAGATTAGAAAAATCAATATTTTACTTTATTTGATTTGCTGTGATTAACATTATTAATGATAACTTAATCTTTTTCTTCAAATCAAACAGCGATTGTTTGTCACATCACTTAAAGATTATGATATATTAATTTACATTGATCCATCAAAGTGCACTCGTTATTATCAAAACATAAATCCTGATAGTAAATATCTATTGAAGGATAGTAGCCAAATTTTCCAAACATATAAAGTTGCTAATAATAATAATACAGATATTATACCTATGATTGGATTTGATCCAATAGGTTGTTATGTAAATGAATTGAAAGTGAGTAATAATAATAATATTATTATTTATTGATTGATTGGTGAACTAAATTAATATATCCATATAAATTATAGAAAATATATTCTGAGGTAGCATTATTCTTTTATGATCAATATGGTGGTAATATAATTGGTGTAGTATGGAATCCATCTTATTTTACACCAAAACCTTGGAAAACAAATATTGAATTTTCATCAATTTTATTAAATTTAGTTGAAAATAATCATCAGTCAGAGAATGAAAAGGTATTAAAAAATTTTTTATTTTTCAAGAAAATTTATATAAATATGTATATTACAATAAAAAAAAATTTTTTTTAGAAATCTAAGAGAATAAAAATATCAAAAAATGGAGATTATATAAATAAAAACAACAACAATAATGGTGATGGTGATGGCAATGGTGATTTAAAAATGGTTATATTAAATACCAAAGCTATTGCTTTTGAAATGGGAAGATTAGGAGAAGGATTGGTTGAGAGAATTGAATTTCAAAAATAAAATATGATGGATGCATTAGTACAGTGCGTTTCACGGGATACATCCAAAATAATTGGTCTTTCTTAAAATAAATTTTTGTGTAACTTTTGAGGCAATAAAAAAAAAGTAAGCAAAAAAATTTCCAAATCCAAATTAGAAAATACTAAACCTGAACTTAGGGTGTCCAGGATTATGCATTTATGCGATCATAATTTTTGGGCAAATTTGAGAATAATTCTGGCCAAAATTAAAATACATAAAATTTAATTTTTTAATCGAATCTTCTTTAAAAGCTTTTATAATTTAAAAGGATCTTTCCACATCAACACCAGATCATACATGTTAGCCAAAATTGGTTTTGCATTTGCTAAATATTTTGGCAATACTCTGGCTTTTTCATATTCCCTATATTAATGGTCAATAAAAAAACCACCCAGAGTTTTGGCTATTGAACCAAAGAATTCAAATAATTTTGGATATAATAATTTTGGCCACTATTAAATTAATTTTGGCCATTATTAAAATTAATTTGGCTATGAAAAACTATTTTGGCATTTTGAATTTGGCAATGATCATTTGCTAACAAAAATAATATTGGCTAACATGTATGCATCAGATATAGGCAACCAAATATAATTTAATGCATTGAACTTAGCATTGTTAATATATTTGTTTTTTGATTCCAATAAACTGTCTAAATCATCAAAATTCTCATAGAGTTCCCATTCTTCCCATTCATATATAAAATCATTTGTATAGTCATTGAATTCTTTGATGACAAAATATGCTGAAGAAATGTGGTTTTTGAATTTTATTGAGTATAACAATGGTCAAAACACCTGATTGCTTTAAACAAGGGAACTGCTGGATGATTTAAATTTTTCTAATGTTAACTTAAATGCTTATCAACATGGATCTTTTTTTTTATGATTTATAGTATGGCTGCAAAAACAACAAAATAATTTCTTCCATCAACATAGTGACTTTTTTTCTCAGATGTTCTGATGCAGTAAGCACCATTGTCATTAATATAGATATATAAATATACATGGGATGGTAATTGTTTTGCCAAAAACGTAATTACGAAATTATTTACAAAATTAATTACAAGTGACAAAATTAAATGATGCCTATTATTTATCCTGTTATACTAGTATAATGACATAATTTGTCAACTTTTTCTGTTATAATGACATGTCAAGTTAAAATTTTGAAATTGAACTCCTATCAGTCGCAGGACATTGCGGATCTACAGGGGGTCAAATGTTACTAACTAATAAAATTTTTTTGATCAACACGGAATTTTATATGAAAAAATGAAGAAAAAAATCACGCTTTTATACACAAACTTGCCTGATTTTATGCATCTCAGATGTGGTGCTCATGTGTTGAACCTTGCAGTTAAAGAGGGAATAAAATTAATTGACCAACCAATTGAAAAATTACGTAAAACCGCTAGCAGTATTCAAAATTCACAGCCTATTTTAGAAGAACTTAAAACTATATTTGAAATGAAAAACCAAAAATTTTTAATTCCTGATTTGGACATATCAACCAGATGGAATT